TCTTCATGGGCTCCCCCAGAGCCTCACCTCCGATCGTGATGTGAAGTTTATCAGTCACTTTTGGAGGGAATTGTGGAAGCGCTTACACACTAAAATTAAGCTCAGTTCGGCTTATCACCGTCAAACCGATGGACAAACCGAGGTGGTAAATAGAACATTTGGCAAAATGCTTCGTTGCCTTGTTCAAGAGCACCCCAAGCTGTGTAATGAACTACTTGGGAAGGCGGAGTTTGCTTACAACAGCATGCCAAATCATTCTACAGGAAGAAGTCCTTTCAGTATTGTGTGCACCAAACAACTGAACCACACCATCGATCTTTCTATATTGCCCAAATGCACAAGTAAGACCGCCTCCTCATTTGCAAACGAATTTTCTTCCATGATGCATGATGTTCGCACCAAACTATTGGAGTCAAACGAGAGGTACAAACGGAAGGCTGACGAACACCGTCGGGAGAGAATATTCAAACCAGGTGATTTGGTGATGATCCGTTTAAGACGGGAGAGTTTTAATCCTGGAGATTATTCAAAATTAATCAGCAAGAAAATTGGCCCAATTGATATTCTCAAGCAGATCAATCCAAACGTATACATTGTAGACTTACCAGAACACATTCACACTTCCTCTACATTTAATGTCACAGATATCTCGCATTACCACGCACCAGATGAGGTGCAAACAAGTTTTTCATCATCAGAGTCTGATGTTTCTGTTGCAGGGGGAGTACGATGCGGTGCATCACATTATCATGGTCCTGGTTACCTATAGTTATTTTGCATAATTTATATATTTTCTTAATGTTGGGCATTTTGTTATTAGTTGCCAGCCCACTACTATAGTTTCTAATTTGAGCATGATAATACAAAACTCCTTTTACTGCCATTTAGCTATTTTTAGCAAGAGGAAGAACCCACTTGTTAGTGAATGTTTTGTACATCTTCACCCTGTGGATAAGATGAAAGTAGTTTTTGCTGATAATACAATTTCAGGTTCAGGCCTTTATCCTATTTGTTCTCTGTTTTTCCTCTTTGAATCTGCTTCTTCCGCTGTATACCACATCAATTTGTATCATAATTATTGTATTTCAAAGTAATATTTAAAGATGAAATTCTCTCTTGAGGCTTTTGCCTTGATTTTTCAACAATAGTTGTTCGTGTGATTAGATTTAGGTAGGGACTTATGGATTTCATTAGAAAATGTCCCAGTTAGTGGGACTTAAGACCTCTACTAAGGGTAACCCGAATATTTCAATTATCTAGGTCTTAGTGCTTCCTTAGAAGTTTCCTAGCGATGGGTCTTATGACCTAGCACTTTAAGCTAAGTGGCCCAAGTGATGGGTCTTACAACCTAATCCTATAGACTATGATGCCCTAGTGACTAGGGGTCTAGGATTATGTTATTACCTAAATATTTTTCTCAGAGGTCGTACTTACGAATTTTATTAGAAGTGGCTAGTGTTTTAATTGGGGGTTAGGAGTTAGGTCAATTTTTATCTAAAATTTTCCCCTAAAGTCGGGCTTACAGCATTCCTTTGAAAGTTGCCGAATAGTGGGTCTTACAACCAAGTTCTTATAAATAAGTATGCCCAGGATTTTGAATTTCATTGTGTTTGTTGAGAGGATATCAGTTGTTTAGGAACTGTTACTTTGAGAGTTTGAGAGGTTTATGAGTTGGTTTGAATTTGTGATTTTGCCACTTCGGGGTTTTGACACTGGCATCAGTGTTTTAGTTATTTTGTGCGTATAGTCTTTTCTTACCACAATAGTCCACTACTCTGCTCATTTTTGGCACTGTTAATTTACTAATTTTTTCAGTACTTAGCTTTTCTTGTTTTCCAATATTTTTGTCTTACTAGTAATTAGATTTACTATTTTTTAGTATTGATTTTCATTTATAATTATGCTGATTTAAATATGCTTGTTTGCAGGTACGCGGTATTTGTAGCAGTGAAGGGAGCTCACATATAGCTATATGAACTCGTACAGGAGAGACTGTAGAACTTGCAGAGTGTTTTTGTTCTGTTTGGGGAGTTTCATGAGTTTTTGGGAGTCTCAGTTTGTGTTGTGGGGAGTTTGAGTGTTGATTGTATAAGGTTGGGTTTTATATGTCAAATAAAGGAAAACATTCTCCCCCCCCTCTCCATTTTATTTATTGCATTTTTTTAACAAATAACTCAATTTTGATCAATTAATTTTAACTAGTTAATTAATTTAAATAATCAATTAATGAGATAATTTGTTGCAAGTCATGCTATTTCATTACCTGAAGGAATAGATGTGATGTTTTGATAATCAGAGACCTCCAATATTTTAAGAGGAATAGCATTTGAATATCACAACAATTCAAAGTCTTCCACTCAATGTTACTTGTGTTAAAATCTCTTACAGAGATATCTCAATTAGAGACATTCGAAACAATCTCATTTAAAGATATTCGAGGCTTTTCAAAATAGTCTTCGGAATGAAATAATAACATCCAAGCAACTCTCATTCATGCAGGATGACATTTGAGAGAATGATGAGAAGTAGGATAAAAGCAATGGAAGAATATGCTCACCCCTTTATTCTTATAAAAAATTTTGGGTAATAGGCTCTTAGTAACGATTTAAATAAGTTTAATCCAAATGATGATTGCAAAGGTCTTTAGAAGAAGGAAATATTTAGATTTAGAGGGACTAGAGGAGAATGAGTGTTTGCCTTTTCTCGACTCCTATGCATTTGACAATATAGGAAACTTTAAAGATCTCAACTAATCAATTATTTTCATTAATTTTAATCAGTTAATCTTTATTAAACATTAACTAACTAAATTAGTTAATTAATATTTAAAAGTCAATTTTAATATTTTAGTTGAATCAATATTCAAATTGAATTTCCCTGTAAATTTTTGAGGCGATTTCAGTAGCCTCTCAGCATCCCCTCCCCACCAAGGGAGAAATCGGGACAGTGATTGCTGTAATTTCTTCCTACCCGGACCAAAGGTCAACGGCGTAGGGTCTTCGAACTAAAAGCATCCCACCAGGGTATAAGATCTACTGTGTGGGGTCTTCCAATTTTATTTCATCCCACGGTTCCCACCCCGATCTAAAATCAATGGCGCGGGGACTTCAAATTTAAAACCATCCGTCTGGATCTAAGAACACGGCTCAGGTCTTCAAATTGTGCATTCCTGACCGAAGCTAAGGTCGATGGCACAGGTCTTCGACACCTGTTTGAAAGTCTTTTCTTCTTTTTTTTTCTTTTTATTATTATATTAGATATATAATATTATATAAATAATAACAATATGATATAGATATATCATGATATATTTAAATATAATATTATATATTATAATATGCATTTTAAAGAGAAAGGGAGAAAGGGTTTGAGTCAGGTCTGTTCGGGGACTTGGGTCCAGTCAGAGAAGGAGCACGGTCGAATAGTAACAAAGGAACTAAAGAAGCCACTAGTGTAATTACTATACCTCCTGCGATGGAGTCGAGCAACAACTAAGGGGTGGAAGAAGCGACGTATGCAATCTCTACTTCCTGCGAAACAACAAAGGTGGACAGCAACCAGGAGTCGAAGGAGCGACCGTGCGATCTCCATACTCATGCAAAGCAACAAAAACGAATAGCAATGGGGGAGCCAAAGAGGCAACGCGTGCAGTCTCTACCCTTCAGCAAAGCAAAAGTCGAACATCAACGATGGAGCCAAGGAAGCGACTCGCGCAATCACTCCTCTCCTACGAAGCGACGAAGTCGGACAGCAACGAGGAGTTGAAGGAGCAGCACATGCTGTCTCTGCGCACCGAAGCCGAACAGCAACGAAGAAAAGAGAAGATGAAAGGAAAACCCTAGATGTTTCCTGCGAAGCCATAAAGTCAAACAGCAACATCGGAGTCGAAGGAGTGGAAGAAGCGATGGTGAAGAGAGTGTAAGTCCCATTCTTCAGTTATTTCCCCCTTTTTATGGAATGACTCGTTGAATAGCAGTTATGGAGATGAAAAGCGAAGTCGTTTGGCGAGGTAGGGCCGGCGGAGGAAGCGAAAAGATGCTTCAGTTCGATTTTTTTTTCTTTATTCTACTTCTTTTTTTAATAGCCAATAATGACATTTCAATGTGTGTTCTAACCATTAGTAATGTTAAGCATTTCTTTATTGTTAATAATATTATTATTATTTCTTATACATTGTTAGTGTATTTTATTGAGTCATAACTTATTAGCAGTGGTTTTACTGTAGTTAAGGGAAAGAAGCCCGTAGGGCATTAAAGGGGTGACTGTTCTTTTTGGGTTTGCAAATATTTTACATGTACAAAGAGATCTGAATGATAGTTGTGCAGACCTTTCGGTATGTAAGTAAATTTTAAAAGTTTTAGTAAAACTCTATATTTCATTTGAAATGTATATTTCAATTAAAATATATTATATATGCTTTCTATTATGGATATTTTGAAGAGTTAGGATTAGTGAGGTTATGAAAGTTTGAATAGAGTACTTTTTACCTATCGAATTCTGTTATTAGTGTTCAAAATAGGGGTAAGTAAGGAGATGGTCTATTTAGATTCTACTTCTTTGTTACACTCTAGGTGACTGTAGGGGTTTAAAATGGGGTGTGACTGCCACTTTGCTGATTGATCGACTCGTGCAATGGCTCATGCCATATGGGTGCCCATTCTGGGATTTTTTATATTCTAAGTAAAATGATGCAATATGCCTCATGAATGGATGTTGCTCAAGTGACCTCGCACAACGTCACGTCAGTAGTCCAACAATTTCACTCATGTCCGTAGTCCCCAGAACACATAGCCCACACACATTAGTCACAAGTGTCCAAGGACATGTTAAATGATGGACAACATAGGGAAAAATGTACCTCAATCTAGCATTCCTCTGATCCCTTATTATGTGAGCAATAGTCAGGAAAATAGATATTAATCTGATCTAATGCTATAACAAAACTACAATCAATCAAGTGCAATCACTAAAGTATGACTTTTTAGGGGAAAAAAACATACGTGCCAAGTAGAGCCTCCATATCATCCACCTCAGCTTGAGAAAGAAGATCTTTTTCAACAGTAACTTGTGTGTCAATTTGTATCATAACTGATGTGGCCACTCCATCTTCAGTGAAAGTCCGATTAGTAGTTAATGGTGAATTTTCCTATACAAACTCATTATAATCATGATGAGTTGCTTGTTTTAAGCAAGAGATTTTGACATAAAAAACTCTAAGCAATAAGAAAAAGCTCATAAATATGTGAACATAATAACTAAAAAGATTAAATATTACATCTTCCAATATAATTACACTAATCATGTTCATTTTACACATATAGTATCATACAATTATGATATCGCTGATCCCTTCAACTACTAAAAGAAAAACAATTGACCTATAATATTTGAACAAAAGGTTGTGACTGTTTGTAATTCAGACTTTAATACTCTATTTCATGATTTTTTTCTATTTTTACGAATATTGTAGGTATGAAAATAGAAAGTTGTTTATTGAACTTAAACTCTTTGAAGAATTGATAGCTGCCAATATAAATGGGTTCCTTTGAAGCATCGAATACTTACTTTGCCAACATTTACTCAAGTGAACTAGAAATCATGTACAATTTTATGAAAATTTTTCATAATTTTTTCGAGCTTTAGATTTGAAGAAATAAAAGGACTTGTATAAAATTTATGTTATTAAAAATATATCATTAACTTTATTTTTACATACATTATTAAAAGCCATTATAGAAATTTGTTTTTTAAGTTTTTTTTTCATTCCTTAGAATTGAAGTGAGAGAGGGGGAGAAAAAGAGAGGAGGAGAAATCCAAATTTTGGATTTCTTAGAGTTGTTTGTGATTGGCGAGAGCTAATTGGAAAAATTGACCAGCATAAGATAGATGTTACTACCCTACCTCTATATTCGTTGGTCTTATTTCTTTTGTGATTTTTAATATTTTATTTGAATTGATTTAAAAAATTTTAGATATCACAATATCTTGATAACTTTCACTACATAACTTTTTATGTATTGATACCATAATTATTATGCACATATTTGTATAATCAAATAATATTTTGATTGTATCTTTTATGTTCTGCAGTATTTTGAGTATTTTAATGAGCTTATAGATATTGATAGAAACTATTACAGTACCTTGAGAACATAATATTAATATTATAAATACTATATGTAATCATCTTTTATGATTCATGAATGTACAACAGAGTATACTGGCTGATCATTTAAATTCTATTACTTCTATTATACTTGCAAACTGTTATGCACTGATGTGAAATTATATAAAATACTTGTATTCAGTAAAATTGTTCATTATTCGAAATCTGTGTACAGTGAAATATTTGTGCAAGTAAATGACGGTTTACTAACATATTGGTTATGGTATGCATTTGTACTTGTAAGGAGTTATAAGGATGTAAGTAATATATTACTTACAGGAAGACATGTGAGTATGAATAAAATAAATATACCTTGCATAGCGAGGCTTAAAGGCTTGAATGAATGTGGAAATGAAGGAATGAATACACAGAGAGGGCATGCAGGCCTAGCTATGTATATCTGAAACAATTGGGAGATTAAAAGCCTAAAAAGAAAATTGATGTGACAACTTTAAAATGCTGTTTATTTCTAAAAGCTTACTGCAATACAATGAGTATGAAATAATATAATATTTATATTATGATTTATAATGTATAGTGTTAGCATTGGTTTTTGTACTAACACGTTGTACTTAATAGAGCATAACATTTGATATGTTAATACACTATATTTAGCATAGCATATCCATGATTAGCATTGTAAAACTCTATTTAAATATAATATGTTTCATTGTTCTTGATATGGTGATAGATTGGCATACATATAATTTTTCCTTTCATATATTGAATACTATTGTAAATTTGTTGTACCCAACTAGGCTAGTAATACTCACTCCTACTTTATGTATATGTGTGGATTTTAGGAAAGGAAAAAGAGCAAGACTAAAATTTTGTTTGGGATGACTTTCTTACTGCTTTGTAAAACAACTATAGAAAAAGTAATTTTTTTGAAGATGTTATAGAAAGCAGCTTTCGAGTACAAAAATTTTTTAAAAGTAATTAAAAAGTAAAGGCCAAATAGAAATTGTGGTTAAAAGAAAAAAAGCTACCTGAACAAAGCCTAAGTTGATTAGTGATTCTAGGTATTCCTCTTTGGTATACTACAGTTGTATTTTTTATAATCATGGGTGGTACTATATTTTGATAGCTAAAGATTTGTGTACCATATATATATATATATATATATATACTATTGTAAAACTTTATGATATGAGCTAAAAATTATGATAATGATTTATGTTTTACTATATTTCAAATCATATTAAAAAATTAAGTAAAATATTATCTTAGGACTAGAAGGGGGCATTTAAAAAATGCTAATAAAATTATTTTTTAGAGTAAGATTTAATATCACAAGATTTGAGAATGTTATATGAAAAAAAGTGGCTGGTGATTTAAAAATATTGAAAATATATGCTTGGAGAATAAAAAAGAAAAAATGCTAATAGAAAAAATAGTTAGTGGCAGAATCAAAAGGTGCAAGAAAAGATCAAAAAAAGTTGTATTATAAAAATTTGTTTAGATATTAAAGCTCGAATAATTAGAAAAGTATAGAGAAGTATATAGGGACTAAGAAAAAAATATACGATGCAAAGAATTTAGCTCTCAATAATTTATATAATAGATTAATACTAAGAAGGGCAAAAAATGTGAAGCAAGAAACTAGTTCAAGTGAAGTTCGTTAAGGATGAAGATCAAAAGTGTTTTTCTTAGAAGAGGATATTCAACATAAGTGGATAAGATATTTTGATAAGCTTTTTTAATGAAGATTGTGAAATTTTAATTGACTTTAGAGACCTTAACACCCTAAATGAAAATAGAATTTTTTTTATTTTTTATCATCGTATTAATAAAATCAAAATTAGAGATGCTTTAAAGAAAATAAAGTGCGAAAAATTAGTGGAATCTGATGATATTCCAATAGAGGTGTGGAAATGCTTAAGAGATGAGGGAATTTTTTGGCTTACTAAACTTTTTAATATTATTTTGAAGACTAAAAAGATGTCAAATGAGTGGAGAATGAGTGTGTGATTCCTATTTTTAAGAATAAAGGTGACGCACAAGATTGTGTGAATTATAAAGGAATTAAGTTAATGTGTCATACATTAAAACAATGTGAGAGAGTAACTGAGCATAAGTTAAGACACGATACAAATGTTTCTCAAAATCAGTTTGAATTCATGTCAGGTGGGTCAATTATGGAAGTTATACATTTGTTGAGAGGTTTGATGGAGAAGTATAGAGAGAGCAAGGAGGATCTACATATGACATTTATTGATTAGAGAAAGAATACGATAAAGTTCCAAGAGAAGTGCCCAACAAAATGAAGAAACCTACGCAAAGTTTTTTAGTCCTATTTCATGATGTTACATACAAATGAATACTCGAATTACTTGTGTTTTCCTGATGGAAGCAAAACAAAATTACCAATGGCATTGAAATTGCGACACATGAAGTTGCGTAATGATTCTAAATCATCTGATTAGATTACTAACAAGATCGAGGACTGGCAAAGTCACTTCGTCAGAAAAACCCGATGCAAATGACGTGATCCAAGTTCATTTGACGAGTGGTAGGTACTGCTGCCTCCATCGAAGAAAGGATCATAAAAAAAAATACAAAGGGAATGACATCATAATCAACGAAGAAATTACTCTCAAAGACTTAAAGAAAAAGCCTACTCATGCAAAGGAGTAGACTATAATGTCTTATCTCATCTGTCAAAAGATTCCTACACAAATCAACATGTAGGAAGCCCTTTGGATGTCAAAGGATATGAAGCATATTTTGTTGAACGCAATCGGATTGAAATTCTACGAGCTCAGAATGAACCAACTATCACTTTCTTTGAGGATGATCTCATGCTAAGGATAACGGAGCATAATCACCCTCTGTATGTTATAGCTGAGAAAGATGGTGTCATTATAAATCATATCTTGGTTGATTAAGGATCCTTGGTAAATCTCATGAATTTGCATATACTAAGATAGCGGTCTCTAAATGTTTAGTATCTCAGGCAAGACAAATAATGGGGTATGGGTTTAACTTAAAAAAGGGAAAAAAAGTATGGTTATTCATCCTCCCCCTTCGACATATGGAGGTTAAATTCCATGTGATTGATCTGGATATCTCATTTAAAGCACTTCTAGGCCTTCAAGGCTCCATGAGTATGGTATATTTTCGTCAACCTTACACCAATGCATGAAGTATATAAGAGATGAAGAGGAATTCAAAGTTTTTGGTGACATACAACCTTTTGTGGTGCACGCAGTTCAAATATATCCATATGTTAGATACTTTATTCGAAAGGAACCAAAGTTCACTCAATCACACAAATTTGACACATCTACCTAAAAGACTGCGACACTCCCTGAAAAGGAAGGTATCAAGAAGCAAAGAGGAATAAAGAAAACGACGTCGCCTCTCCCCAAATTCACCAACCCTCCAACTATGCTAAAAGGACTTATTTCTCGCTTGGGAAGTGATAGGGAGGAAGGAGATATCCATGTCAAACCCAAGGAGATGCACAACCCTCCAACTAAAGGGAAAATCATTAAATTTTACTCAAAATTATATGAGGTTAAATCGGCTTTACATAGGCAAGGCACAATATATTTCCCTGAAGAAGATAACTGACACTCTAATGGTAATGCCAATGCCTCCCCAACATTAAAAAGTGGTTACTCCCCATGAGGTTCATAATATCGAAAAGTTGAAAAAAATTTATGAATCTCCTCTACGTGGAAGCAATTGATCAAGAAGCTTATTTTATAAATTTGGGGAACATCGGGAAGAAAAGTTTGATTATCTTATTGAACTCAACGATTTTGGAGAGAGAATTCCTACAATAGGGCCAAGATACTATCCTCCAAGAATGTGAAAGATGATGCGGAAGCTAAGAATTCATACTGGGATCATTAAATGGTAAACTAAATATTTTCATATGATATTGTATCAGAAAAGTCTGAGAATTCATACTGGGATCATTAAATGGTAAACTAAATATTTTCATATAATATTGTATCAGAAAAGTCTGCTAG